ACACTTGGAAGGAGTTTGAGGTTTCGTTGAGAGACTTCCAGCGAATCAAAGGAAGTATCTAAGGTTCAACAGAGAGATCATTGACCCTAGCAACTTGTTGCATTACTCCGGCGGCTGAGGCAAGGTTGATGGTGGTGGAGCTCACGGTTGCTGCGAGAGCAGTGCTACAACAACGTCCCTGTTTTCTTTATTTTAGCTTTATGGAGTCTTATTCTTTCTTTGTTGTTTCTTTCCACCCAATTATGAGCTAAATTGTTAGGATTGGGTGATAGAGTACCCTTATTGTGATGTAATCAATATTGCCTAAACTTTGTTGCATGATTTCCCTTTCATTTCCTTAATAAAGTATTATATTGTCTCTAATCTTGTTGATTCATCGAGAGAGGGTTGCAAGGTACTTAGAATTTTTGCTATAGAGATATAGGTGAATCTTGAATTTTATTAAGCATTGTGGTTTAACTAAGTAAAATTAATTAATTGTGGTAGAGAGATCATTCACACCATAAAATCATATGGAACTTGATCTTAATAATTTATAACTTTGTTGGCCATAGAGATGTGGGACTTAGTATATATGTATTGTTGGTGAGAGCCCTTGCATGCATTAATGTTCTGATTACTGAGTGGATGATTGTTGTAGCATGGTTACCGTATTCTGGTGAAATTGCAATAATGGGGAAATTGATCCCAATCTATTCTTGAATACTTGGAAAACTTATTTGGTTGCTGCATTCATTTTAGTTAATCATTAGTCTTAGTTTATTGTATTTCTTCATTGTTAAATTAGTCACTAGCTACTTACAAATCATCTTTGTTACCTTGATTGCTTCACTTGGAGCTATAACTTTACTTAATCTCTGTGGGAACGATATCTGGACTCACACATCCACTTTATTACTTGTCGATGCGTGCACTTGCGTACTTGTGTGATTTATAATTGATTGCGAAATTGCAGAACAAGTTTTTGGCGTCGTTGCCGGGGATTATTATAAAGCTATTTTCTTTTTGTGAAGTAATATTTAATCTTTTCTTCTTTCTGACATATCAGGTATTCTAGCTAGTTTATGAACATCCTCCCTAACCTGCTAGAAGTTGCATTTGTTCCAGAGATTGAAAGAACTTTTCTAGCAAGGAGAAGGAGGCAGAGACAGAACGGAGCTGTAGCAATACCCACAACTGCAAACATGGAAGTAGAAGAATCTGTGAATGGGAATGAACGAGCTGAGATGCCTATTAGATCACATGGAGTCCCCACTCTGAACAATCTCCACTCGGGGATTGTACAACCTGATGTTGCAGCAGCAGACTTTAAGCTGAAACCAGTGATGTTCAGCATGCTGCAAACAATTAGCCAGTTCAATGGAATGCCAAGTGAAGATCCACATCTGCACTTAAAGAACTTCATGGACGTAGCAGATAGCTTCAAAATACAAGGAGTCACAACTGATGCATTAAAGTTGAAGCTATTTTCTTATTCACTAGCCAACAGAGCTAAGACCTGGTTGAGCACTTTAGCCCCTAATTCAATCAGAAGATGGGATGATTTGGCTGAGAAATTCTTAGTCAAGTTCTTCCCTCCAGTCAAGGCAGCTCAACTAAGAAATAGGATCACATCTTTCCAGTAGAGAGAAGGAGAATCATTATATGAAAGCTGGGATAGATTCAAAGAATTGCTTCGAAAATGCCCCAACCATGGCATACCTGAATGGCTTCAGATGGAAACCTTCTACAATGGGCTGAATGAGCAAATTCGTGGCATAGTAGATGCATAATCTGGAGGATCCCTCTTGGACAAAATATTTACATAAGCTTACCAGATTCTGGGGAGGATGGCAAATAACAATTATCAATAGCCATCCGAGAGGACAATTGCACAGCAGAAGGCTGCAGGAGTGCTGGAGCTGGATGCTATATCTTCACTATCAACACATATATCCTCTTTGACTTATATCTTCTTTGACTAACACTATTAAAACACTAAATCTGAACACTGATGCTAAAGCACAACCACATCAAGCATATGCAATTTCTAATACTTCTAATGTTGTAACATGTGTTTTGATTGCCCTCAAAACCCTCAATCTGTGTTTTTTGTAGGAAATTATAATAAGAGCAATCAATATTCAAATTCCTACAATCAAGGATGGAGGAATGATAATAACCTGTCTTATTCTCAAGGGCAATAACAAGGTTAAGGTATGCTCCAGCGCAACAGATGCAAAGGCCACCATTCCAGCAGCAGGAACAGCAATTCCAACAACCTAGACAGCAAGCTGACAACTCTAGCTCGTTGGAGAAAATGCTGAAGGACTTCATGGCAAGGAATGATGCCATTGTTCAGAGTCAATCAGCATCAATAAAGAACTTGGATAATCAAGTAGGGACGTTAGCTAATGCCAAGAGAAGTAGACTCATAGGCACACTGCCTAGCAACACTGAAAATCCAGGAAGAGAAGGGAGTGAGCAGATCAAGGCCGTAACATTAAGGAGTGGTAAAGCAGTAGATGAACCAGACCATATAAAAGACTACCACAAGATGAAGGAGCAAGAAGGACAAAATGCAGGAGAGAAGGTTACTGTTGAAGAAGACATTGAGCAATAGGTTGACACTCAGAATGCTGCAACAAAGAAGCTGAAAGTAAAATGGCCTTGAAGGCCGTAGCATGTGAGAGGGAAAAACAAAATTTTTTATATGCGAAATTACACATGCAATCAAGAATCATGCTTTATGGCATGTGATGTTACCTTTGTTTGTGAGTTCAAAACTCCAAGACGATCAATGTTAGGTTTGAAGGGTTCAAACCCTCTAACGTTGATCCACACCACCCACGTCAAGATGCAAGAACGCTTTCTTGAAAGCCACCAATTGACCACCACAGAGAGGCTTGCTATGCGCTCAATAGGTGAAGAAGGAGGCTAGGCATATGTGTTTAGAAGAGTAAAGTCTCCAGCATGAAAACTTCATAAGAGTGGGAATAGTATATAGAAGAATTGGCTAGGTTCTTTTGAAAAACCTTAAGGAGGAACTCACCAACTAGGCGCACAAGAGAGGGGGAGAATTAGTGTATCAAATCAGAATTTTTACTTTACTTATAATGAAAGTGGCGCACAAGTGAGTGAGACAAATGTGGAGTTGTTGCAATTCAAAAATCCCAACAACCTCTCCTTTGAATCCTCATAAGACCAGGTCTTTATCTAGTCAAAATTCTGAACCAATGGTCATCATATGACCACCAATTCATGCGCCCCTATTCAGCCCAAAAAGGGTCCAGATACATTTGAGCTGTTGCATTCAAGTTTGAACCAACTAGCTCACTGATTCTCTCAACAACCAAATCTGATTGGAGCTTGTTGGTTTGACAAGATGACAATCATCTCCCACCAAAATGGTGCCCCAAATCAGCCCTTGGAGATCTCCATAGATCTTCTCTTGATACAAGGGATTTGTTCCAACAAGATCTCATCTTATCCTTTTGTTATGAAACAACTTTTCATAGCCAATTCAAATTCGAATTCAAACATTTAAATTCAAACGTTCAAACATTTAAATTCTAAATTCAAATTTAAATTTCAAATTCAAAATTCAAAATTCAAAATTCAAATTCAAAATTCAAATTTCAAAATTCAAATTTCAAATTCAAAATTCAAATTCAAAATTCAAAATTCAAAATTCAAAATTCAAAATATAAATATTTGATAATTAATTTAACTAATTAAATTAATTAGTAATGTCTTGGACCATCCAAGCCCATTAACAATACCATGCGCCCTCTCCCTCTTAAGTGGGCTTCCAAACTTCATCTTGGGCTAACAACCATTATTAGGCCCAATACCTTTAATGCTATATCATCATGACATTAAGGTGTTAGTGTGTGACCCATTAGGTCCAACATAGCCACTGACATAAATGGGCTCGGGCCCAACAAGCTCACAACCAATTTAATGACAACACAGAGCACTAGCAATACTTTGTTGCCCCAGAGCTAGTTAGATTAATGACTTGATCATCCTATTACACATATTTGGTTGCCGTATGTATTTCTTTTCGTCTCGGTTACCTTCCCATAAAACCTAGGGTAAGGAAGCGTATCAACCCTTGCGGTTTAGGGTAAGCTTTATTCGAAATAGGAAATCTTCAATTTACTGACTCTAAAGACAGATCATCTCATGATCTCTTTTACTATGCTTAGATTTTCGAGTCCCTGTAAATGTCATCCCGATTTCTCTGATTTACAGATAACCTAATCTCTCACAGAGATTTGACAAATTCCTTCAGTTTATCACCCTAGCCCTGTGCTCTTTCAGGATAAGCCCAACAGTATACCTATGAGTCTCCATGTTTCAGGCAGACGAGGTATACAGTCAAAGCATGCCTTCTATAACACAGTCTAGGTAATAACTTCTGGTCCAAGGAAAGACATACCCAAATATAAAGAGACTACTCTAATGATACTCTCTGTGAGATTTCCTCATAGAGTCTCTTTTGTGGGTCTGTTCAGTGCGAGTTATACCCTTATAGATCCACCCACGACTTTAGCTAAGACATCTCTATATCTGTAGCTCATGAGGTCTTTACCTTGCATCCGAATACAAGTAGATAAGTCGTGCTAGTCTTACCCGAGATCACTGATCCCCATTCTCAGTGTCTCTAGACTAGGAACATAAAATTAGGAATAAATTTCCAGTATCCTTGAATCCTCATGATCGTGATCTCATCACAGATACTCAAGAGGTACCTATTTTATTCCAAGGGGTTTATCCAGTTACTTATATAAAATAGTAACAGTAATATTGAGACAAAATATGAAACAGGATAAATAGTGCTTTTATTTATTTGCGACAATACAAAGGTCCACATATGTCCTAATCTAATTAAAAGATTGTCTCTAGGACATCCATATACTAACAAGCAGCATAGTCAGCCTGCTGACAAAGCAAGTAGACCACCACCTCCTTTTCCTCAGCATAACCAGCAAGATGACAAGCAATTCAAAAGGTTCATGGATATGCTAAAACAATTGCATATCAATGTTCCATTGGTAGAGGCTCTTGAGCAAATGCCTAGCTATGCAAAGTTCATGAAAGACATCTTGTCAAGAAAAAGGGGAGTCAAAAAGTATGAGACAGTAGCCCTCACCCAAGAAAGTAACAGGTTCTTGAACAAGTTGCCACCTAATTTGAAAGATCTAGGGATTTTCACAATCCTTTGTTCTATTGGCAACACTTACGTTGGTCAAGCATTATGTGATCTTGGTGCATCCATCAATTTGATGCATAAGAGTATTTTCACCAAATTGGGAATCGGAGAAGCACGTCCAACCACTGTCACCCTACAACTTGCTAACAAATCTATCACTTACCCTGAAGGAAAGATTGAGAATGTATTGGTAAGGGTGGATAAGTTTATATTTCTTGCTGACTTTATTGTTCTTGACTTTGAAGCAGATAAGGAGGTACCCCTCCTCTTAGGTAGACCATTCCTAGCTACTAGAAGAACTCTTATTGATGTTAAAAAAGGAGATTTGATTATGAGAGTCAATGATAAGCAAATAACCTTTAATGTGTTAAATGCTATGAAGTATCCAAGTCAAATGGAAGAATGCTCTGCCATAGAAGATGCTGATGAACCACTGCTACAGCAACAGGAACCAGAAACTGAGAAATAGCCACTGGAGATTGCCATAGCAGAAGAAGGTGCAATTGACAAAGAAGAGGTGGAAGCATGTTTAGCTTGGATAGATGCTCAACCAATAATGCCATTCAAAGAGAGACACTTTGAGTCGCTAAATTTGCAAGAAAGAAAAGTACAATCACCAAAGCCTTCAATTGAAGAACCACCAGTGTTGGAGCTTAAGCCACTGCCTGATCACTTGATATATGCATATTTGGGGGAGAATGGTACTATGCCCGTGATAATTTCATCTCATTTGACCAAGTTGCAGGAGGAGCAGTTACTAAAAGTCTTGAAGAAACACAAGACAACATTGGGGTGGATCATTGCTGATATAAAAGGAATAAGTCCCTCACTGTGTATGCATAAAATTTTGTTGGAGGAAGGCTACAACAGCACTGTACAGCATCAGAGGAGGCTGAATCCTATGATGAAGGAGGTTGTGAAGAAAGAAGTTATAAAATGGCTAGATTGAGGAGTAATATACCCTATTTCAGATAGCCAATGGGTGAGTCCAGTCCAATGTGTTCCTAAAAAGGGAGGAATTACAGTGGTAGAGAATGAAAATAATGAGTTAATCTCTACAAGAACTGTAACAGGATGGAGAATCTGCATGGCCTATAGGAAGTTGAATGATGCAACAAGGAAAGATCACTTCCCCTTACCATTTATTGATCAAATGTTGGATAGACTTGCAGGCAAGGAGTTTTATTGCTTCTTAGATGGGTACTCGGGCTATAATCAGATTGCTATAGCACCTGAAGACCAAGACAAGACTACATTCATATGTCCTTATGGCACCTTTGAATTTTAGAAGGATACCATTTGGACTGTGCAATGCTCCAGCAACCTTCCAGCGTTGTATGATGGCTATATTCACAGATATGGTGGAAGACTTTGTGGAAATTTTCATGGATGATTTCTCAGTTTTTGGGGGATATTTGCTTCATGTCTTTTCAACCTATCAGATGTACTTCAAAGGTGTGAAGACACTAATCTCATACTCAATTGGGAGAAATGTCATTTCATGGTCAGAGAAGGCATAGTCTTGGGTCATAAGATATCAAAGGAAGGACTTGAAATGGATAAAGCCAAGGTTTCAGTGATTGAGAAGTTGCTCATGCCTATCAATGTGAAAGGAATAAGAAGCTTCTTGGGGCATGCTGGATTGTACAGAAGATTTATTAAGGAATTCTCAAAAATTTCAAGGCCACTTTGCAGATTGCTGGAGCAAAATACATCCTTCATTGTGGATGAGGATTGCAAAGCAACCTTTGAAGAATTGAAAAAGAGACTCGTCACAGCACCTATCATAGTTGCTCCTGACTGGAGTCTACCATTTGAAATGATGTGTGATGCTAGTAAACATGCTATTAGAGCAGTGCTAGGAGAAAGACACAACAAAGTGTTTCATCACATTTATTATGCTAGCAAAACACTCACTGAAACTCAATTTAATTATACAGTCACTGAAAAAGAATTATTAGCTGTTGTTTATGCTTTTGAAAAGTTTAGATGCTATTTATTTGGTGCTAAAAGGGAATTATTTTTGGGCTTAATTGTGATGTTTTGGTGCCATGATCTTGATTTTATATGATTAATGCATGAATTCTATGTTTTCATGATTTAATTGAGAATTATGTTAAATATGGATATTTGGATATAAATTGAGCATTGGAAACATTTAATGCATTTGATATAATACTGCAGGTCAATGCTGTAGCATCAGAAAGTAATGTTGTAGCAGTGTAGATGAGGTCAACAGTGTATATTGGTGACATCATCACCAGCAAGCTATGGATCCAAGCCCAAATTGATGGAAGAAGCTTCTGAACGTGTAATCAAAGACCTGATTTGGATACGCGCTCAAGAACATCCAAGAAATCACAATCAAATCTTCATCAGATCAACGATTACAAATCTAATTCAGATTTGAATCACAAATTTGGAAAGATTCATGGAAGATATGCAGCAGCATGCTCTATCAGCATTACAACAAAACAGAGTCATATTCTCTATTAATCACAAGGCAGATTTGAATGAGATTTGCATGGATATGAAGAGCTGATTGAAGCCCAGAATATCAAGATATAAAAAGAGAAGAAATCTACACACTGGAGATGCTTTTAGACACCCATTTTGAAGTCAGATTTTAGAGAGAAAGTGGGGGAAACTGTAACACCTTGTATATATATATCCGGCAATGTTATCATAATATCGTATTAAGCTGCGCTTAATTAAAAATGCGGAATTACTTTTTCTTTTCAATTATGATGCCATTAACATTACCAACTTGCTTAATAATCAATTAATAAAATATCGCCTGTATGTAATTGCACTAAAACAGCGAACTGAAAAACCTCATAACATAGGTAATAAAAGTGTGGCTCTAGTCGTAGAACTACAACAATGTAGACCAGACCATCTAACAGTTTATACAACTCCAATCTAAAAAGTACTAACAGAAAGTGTCATGGACAATCCCCATGCTCACTCAAATAAGGCAACATGCCCAACATCAGTCTCAACAACAACCTATCATAAATAGCAGAAAACATAAACAACATCCAAATCCAGTCATGCTAACATAAAGCAGTAAAACATAATCAGCTAAGCTCCGGCCTCCTGCCGCCTGAGGCATCAATACCCATACTACCTGATCCTGAAATAAGCATTCCCCAAACGTGGGGTAAGATCTCTAATCTAGAAATCTCAGTAAGTCAGTGAGTCCTCAAGGATCTTCCACCCCAAGCTCACTTACATATGCAATATAAGTTCAAAGGCAGTTTATCATTTATGATTTCTAAAACAATGCAATGCAGCAGATAATCATGCCATGTGTGTCAATACTAATCTACTGGCCAGAGACAGTGCAGGTATACGTCTATCACCTACACACCGTGCAAGTACCACTTGCATTCACCCCGGTACACCGTCTTGTATGGCGCTACATACTCAGGCTTCCCGTCAAGATGAAACAACACATGCATATTAAAAGCCATTACATGTAAAGTTCAATCAACATATCAAATATCCAAAAGCATGTACACAGCATGCATAAACCATACCCCCATGGGACATGGTGGAACCACAACATGGCTAAACCGAGGACACGAAAGCTTACCTTGCAAGCTAACTCCAAAAGCCAAGAGTCCACAGCTCAAAGTCCAAACACAGCAGATTCACAATCTGTTATGGACCAACAATACATCAACAACATGCACCACAAGCATACAATATTAAGACAACGCCTTTCCATACGTTTAACGTCTTAAGGCTCCATACCAAGCCATAAGTCCTTAATCACAACGATTCTGACTTAACTTAATTAAAACAGAAGTTCAACTTCATCAATCTAGGGTCCACAAACCCCCAATAGCCTACTGTCCTCACAGCACAGCTACTGTTCTTCGAAATCCCAGAATATCCGGATATTCCTCGGGACCATATCCGGATATTCAATATCCGGATATCCAGAATCCCATATCCGGATATCTAATATCCGGATACTCAAAACTCATATCCGGATATCACATATCTGGATATTCATCGGGCACATATCCGGATATTTCACGACAGAATGCAGAAAATGCATTTTGTGAAGATATCCTTCCAAGGTTGGATTTTTAACGATTTAAAGCACCTAAACATGCATTTCTAGGTGTGTTCAACATTACCCAACAACAAGTTATCATCTTTAAGCCTTAACATGCATCAAGCTTTCATTTTTAAACTTAAAGACTCAAGATCAAAGGTGATGAAGCTTACCAAAGCTCAACTCAGAAAAAGGGTGCTCTTGGAGCACACACAACAGCTCCAAGGTTCTGTCTCTCACTGTACACGAAAATAGTGCACAAAGGTGGTTCTTTTACACAACAAGGAAGCTCCTTGAAGCTTCAAATCACCTAAGGAAAGCTCCCTCCTTCCCAAAACGTGAAAACAGCAAGCTCACTCTCTCAAGACAGAAGCCAAACTCAGAAATGAAGTCTCTTTCTCACTCACAAGGATTGTTCACACTCACCCAATGTGTTTACAAGAGAAAAAGTGAAGAATCAAGGAAGAAAAGGCCTTGAACCTCAAGAAAAGGAAGGAGAAAACCCAAAGGTTGTGTTTCTATTCATCCACCAACACAACTCACGTAGCAAAATCTGGTATCTAGGGCAATGTGCCCTTAATAAGGGTATTTATAGCCCAAACGCACTTAAACACACAGTATTAACTTTAATTGCTACGCTTAGAATTTTAATCCCAAACTTTGGATTATGAAACTACATAATTTTCTAAGATTTATCATATTTTTCTTATACTTTTCCGAGCACCTTTCCGGTACGCGTTTTTCCACGCCAGTACCGGTTTCTAGCACCAGTTCTCATTATCTGGACTTGAAACTCGTTTTACAAGTCCTACATATCATTCTAGTAATTATCATGCACTTATTATAATTTTCCGGGATACTTTTTCGGCACACATTTATACTGACTAGCAGAACCGGTATCTGCACTTTTCTTCCGAAAAGCGACTTTCAACATTATTACTCACTTACTATAATTATTAAAGCCTCATAATAATTATTAGGGTCAATTATGGAAGCATTTCCCATTTTCTCATAATTTATTAATTAAATTCCTTAATTAACAGTGTTGGTTCTTACATTCTCCCCACCTTTTTAGGATTTTGACCTCAAAATCAGAAACATACCTGGTCGAAACTCGGGGTACTGCCGGAGAAGTTCTTCCTCACGCTCCCAAGTACACTCCTCAGGAGTCCTTCCGGTCCACTGCACCTTGACCATCGGAATGATCTTGCTCCTTAGCTGCTTCTCGCCACGATCGAGAATCTTTAGTGATCCGACGGGAGTCTTTAGGTTCTCCTGAACCTCCACATCATCCGTTTGCACCACATGCGACAGATCTGCTATGTACCTCCGAAGCTGAGACACGTGAAACACGTCGTGGATGTTGGCCAGGTTCGGAGGCAAGGCAAGCCGGTAGGCAA